TCTATCTATCTATCTATCTATCTATCTAATCTATCTATATATATCTATCTATATCTATCTCTCTATCTCTATCTATCTATCTATCTATCTATCTATCTATCTATCTATCTCTATCTATCTCTCTATCTATCTATCTATCTATCTATCTATCTATCTATCTATCTATCATCTATCTTCCTCCCTCTCCCTCTCTCTCTGCCTCCCTCCCTGCCTCCCTCTCTCTCTCTCTCTCTGTCTATCTGTCTATCTGTGTGTATATATATATATATATATATATATTGTGGTCGCACAGCCGCATGCTGCTGCAAATAGCCACAAAGGCATGCTGGTTGCCAAGCATCCAAAATGCAGCCCTTATGACCACGGGTTCATTCACGGTCATAAGAACTGCATTCATCTACTGGGGGAAGTAGATGCTGAAACTTCAAAGCCAGGTTGTAAATACAGGCAGCCCTCAACTTACAACAGTTCATTTAGTGACTGTTCAAACTTACAATGGCACTGCAAAAAGTGACTTATGACCATTTTTCCCACTTAGCGACCTTTGTAGCAGCCGCATGATCATGTGATCAAAATTCGGATGCTTGGCAACCAATTCATATTTATGACGGTCGCAGAGTTCCTGGGGGTCTCATGATCCCCTTTTGCGACCTTTTGACAAGCCAGATTCGATCAACAACCTTGTTACTAAAACTTATCGACTGCAGTAATTCACTCAGCAACAGGGGCCACGAAGGTCGCAAAATGGGAAACTCACTTAAGAAACATCTCACCCTTAGCAAAAGAAATTTTGCCCTCTATTGTGGTCGTAAGTTGAGGACTACCCTTACCTTTTAGGAGGGGGAGTGTCCTAAGTTCGGTCGCTAAACAAGCAGTGGTAAGTTGAAAATCAGCAGCCTGTTCTGACCAAGGCTTCTGAAACTAATTATGCACATGCTTATTTTAAAAACAAGCCTTGTTTTATTGCAACGCTGGGAATTATTTTCATTCCCCGCTGGTAATGCATCTCAAACAGTCCTTCGAGATAAGCACCCACCTTTCTTTCCTGTGAAGTGCTGCCAATAATAGAAGTGTCAAATAACTAAAACAAAAACCAACCGAAGTACAAAGAGATTCAAGAATGAATCTGAACCGAATGAATGACTTTGCTTCCTGCAAAGGTTTCATCATCTTGGCCTGATTTTTATCCTGTATGGGAAGGGCAATCACCTCCCAGCCTTGCCCCCAAGTCGTCCCTTTTGTTTCAGCTGCTCTCGCCTTCTAGCAGCTCTGGGCACATGCACATTGGGAACAGGCTCCCCTGGGTCCTCTGCCTAGCTGCTGCCAGACTCCGGAGGTTCCAGAGGCAGCACCCCCACTCCCAGATGGTCCTGACTCCATCTCTGCATTGGGCGCAGGACCCTCATCCAAGTCCTCTCCAGAGTCCCTGACTGGTCCCGGTTCTTCCCCACTGTCCAATTCCACTGCCGTCTGCACCGGCTGCCGGCGAACCACAACACAGCCTCCATTTCACCTACCTCCAGCAACCGTGTTCAAGTGGGCGAAGGAATTCTGCAGTTCGACAGACGCCCGTCCTTCGCCCGCATTGCTGGTCCTCCTGAGCAGAAGAGGAGCAGCCGTGCTTCTCCCAGTCCTGGGCAAACTGCTGCTCCAGCCCTCTCTCCCTTTTTGCTCCCGGAGCCCGGCTGGCTCCTGACCGGCAAAACCTCTTCTTGGCGAAGGGCTGAGTTCCGAACACTTGCCCTTAAACTCGGCGTTCAGCTGCTTCCCAAGAACCTTCCACGAAAGTCGGCCCTCAAAGGATCCACCGCTTGGCTCCGTGCCTGCTCGGCCAACGGGATCCACAGATCCTGTGCGTACGGAAGGATCTGCAATAGAACGGCCTACGTTCTCAAGCTGATAAAAACCCAAATGAACGTTCCCGCTTCACCACTTGCCTCTGCTGGAGTTGCCCTACCAGATGAAACGGTTGGAAGGGACCTTGGAGGTCTTCTAGTCCAACCCACTGCTCAGACAGGAGACCCTATAGCATTTCAGACAAGTGGCTGTCCAATCTCTTCTTGAAAACCTCCAGCGATAGAGCATTCACAACTTCTGGAGGCAAGTTATTCCACTGGTTAAGAAATTTCTCCTTTGTTCTAGGTTGCTTCTCCACTGCTTCTTGTTGTGCTTTGGAGAATAGGTTGACCCCTTCTTTGTGGCAGCCCAGAAGTGGTCTTCAGCAGGTTCTGACCAGTTCCGGAGAACCAGTAGCGGAAATTTTGAGTAGTTTGCAGAACCGGCAAATGCCACCTCTGACTGGCCCTGCCCCATCTATTCTCTGCCTCCCGAGTCCCAGCTGATTGACTGGGTTTTCTTTGGTTGCCCTGAACAGGAGAATGGAGCTGGAAAGCAGGTTAGTGGGGTGGGGTAGAGAGGGAATTGGATTTTGTAGTATCCTTCCCTTGCCACCAAGCCATACCCACCAAGCCATACCAGGCCCACCACGGCATGCCCACAGAACCAGTAGTAAAAAATTTTTTGAAGCCCACCACTGTGGCAGCCTCTCAGATATTGGAATACTGATGTCATCTTTCCCCGGTTCATTTTTTCATCAAACTAGAAATACCCATCTCCTGCAATTGTTTTTCATATGTTTTAGCCTCCAGTCTCCTAATCATCTTTGTTGCTCTTCTCTGCACTTTTTCCAGAGTCTCAACACCATTTTTGATTGTGATGACCAAGACGAACCAAGATACTAGGATGGTTCTCCATCCATTGGTGCCGTAGTCACGTTTTAGCTTTTACTTATCTCTGAAACTCCATCCAAAATAGGCAAAGGAACCAGTTGGGAATAGTTGCTACACATATGGTTATTTATCTCACCACAACATCCATCAAGCCCCAAGCACAACACTTAATATTATCATTCTCTCCCCCATCCACTAGCCAGTCCTTGATTTCTGGGTTTTGCACATATGTCTAAGCTCAAATGTCAAATGCTAATTGTTTTTAGGAGTGCAGTAAGATGGATGGGAACAAATTTAATTAAATTGCTTCATTAAAATTGGCATTTACATTGACCAGTCTGCCTAAATGGCTCACATCTACCTTGGGACTGTGAGGTTTCAGGGAAGGATTTATTAGCAAGCAACCGAATCCAAAGGCTCCGCAAAGAAGAGAGAATGAAAAAAAATTAGGTACCAGGGAACTGAGATGGTCTGCATCTCCCACGCTTACCTGTGGATATGGAGTGGGTTCGTGATTTCAGAGAGCATGGAGGAGACTCTGACGAACAATCTACAATATCCCCTAAAAGAAAAGAAAAATCAAGCAGTCATGCGTCAAGGAGTGGGATGAATCAAGCAGGCGAGAAGAAAGTCTTTGGCGATCTATCTGTGCAAGCTGATCAAACCGTTAGTTGTCTACACCATCAGATCCTCATTTTGAAGTTAGCCAACTTAAGCCATTTGAGAGAGCAGATGAGGATTCCGAGGACAGAAGACTAGCATGGCTAAACCTTGGTTAGTTTATATGTGAAGGTATGGCTGGATGTGGCAGGGCTATTTTATTAAACGTTAAGCCAGCTTGGGTCTAAACAGCAGTGAATTTGAGGGGTCCCTGGTGCTCTCTGAGCTTGTTTTCTTGCACACATTTCATTACCCTGAGTAAGTAACGGCATCAGTACTAAGGGTGGATTTTTAAAGAAGCTCCTTTACTTGATTTTTACAACAATGGGAAAAATGCTGGGAATGAATGAGATTAACAATCAATACCCTCATATGGTTCTCATTCACAGGGTGGAGCGGTATATAGATCCCTTGAAAGAACCCTTGGTTAGGTTCCTACAAGCTCATTATATTGTCTTACCCGCAACCCACAACCCAGCACTCCTTAAGAGCTGGATTCATGCTACATGCCTAATACTAAAATCTGGCCTGGGACTTCACGTTGCTTTCACGGGTTTATTTTATTTTATTTTTATTTGTCAATTGCTTACAAGATAATAGGTATAAGTAAAAACATAGTTATGAATACATGGATACATATAAGAAAAATAAAAGAAACAATAGGACAGGGATGGTAGGCAGGTTGGTGCACTTATGCATGCCCCCCTACAGACCTCTTAGGAAAGGGGTGAGGTCAATAGTAGACAGTCTAAGGTTAAAATTTTTGGGGTTTGGGGAAGAAACTACAGAGTCAGGTAGAGTCAGGTATGCGATACTGATAGTTCGTGATGTACAACTGTTTTGTTTAATGACTGTTCAAAGTTACAGTGGCACTGGAAAAAAAATGGTGATCTGTCCATTGCAGCTTAAAAAATTAAAAGAAGTTTTGAAAAGCAGGCTTTTCTTGCTAGAAAGTTCACCAGGGGATCATGTGTCACTGTGGTTGCTGTTTCAACTCAGAAAGGAACATCAAGGGCCCCTTCGCTGTTTAAGCTTCCAATAAAAGCTTGAACTCTCAGTAGTAAACAGAGGGGGAGAAAAACATTGATTGTTACTCACCATCAGATCCGGCCTTTTTGATTTCTCCATCTTTGCTCTGTAAAAAAAATGCAAAATAATACAAGCTCTCAAGCAGGATATTTTCTAGAAAAAAGTTTTACTTGTAAAATAGACTGTATCCAAAACAGGGGAAATGAACCCCCCCACACACACACACAGCTGGGCCTGAATTGAAGAAGCCCTCAGATGAAGAAAAGCAAAAATCATATTTTAATTGGACCACGCCAAATAGATATGTGTGGCATATCTAATCAGTTTCTTTATAGAAGTATTTCTAGCAGGACTACCAGATTCTGGGACAGCTTTGTTCCACCTATGCCATCCGTCTGGTAAACTTGCAGAATTCATTTCTCTTGCCATGTACAGGTATAGATCTGAGCTAGACTGTGTTGTTTCTCTGTGTTGTATATGTACAGGTATATTCGTATTTGTTTGTTTGTTTGTTTGTTCTGTCATGATTATGTAGTATATGTTGGAGGTGATGACCCGTTGAGAGCTCGATGCAACGAAATTTCATTTTAATGTATGCCGATTAGTATACATTCAAAGTGACAATAAAGTTCTATTCTATTGTAGCATAACCTTAACTCTTGTGCTATTGTCACTGTCATCCATCAGTTGGGATGAGAAAGTGAGGTTAGGTGCATTATGACATTATTGCACAAATAATATGAATTACATAATTGACATGTCATTTATATGAGAATGTCATGTCATAAGTGACATCCTTATGGCACCTGGCATGATCTCTACAGTGAAACTGAGAATAGGTTCACCCAAAACTCTAAAGGTTTCCTGCCTGAGCAGGGGGTTGGACTAGAAGACCTCCAAGGTCCCTTTCAACTCCTCTTCTCTTCTCTTCTCTTCTCTTCTCTTCTCTTCTCTTCTCTTCTCTTCTCTTCTCTTCTCT